TAGTCTGAACTCAACTAGTTGTTGGGATTGACTCACTGGCAGCAGATCTGAAGGACAAATGGAGTTAAGCACAAGGGGCCCAGTGAGTGCATCTGTGGGTCTGAAACTCCTGGAGTATTGCCAAGGAAGAGCTTCTACAGTTACCGTGGTGAGACCTCCAGAATTGTCAAAGGATGATGAGACCTTTCTCTCTGAAATAAAGAGAAGACTGCTGATTCACTGCTTCCTGCAGTGAGAAGAGACTGCTGATCTTACAGCGAATACTGAAGAGGTATGGAGTTCAGGACAGCAGTCTTGCAGCAGGGCAAGCAGCACAAGCATGGTTGCTCAGGTAGTCTGTTGTTGATTGAGTAATACTCCTCTCTGGGATGCTTATTGGATTAAGTTCTTCTCTGATTGGCCAATTTACAGAAACAAGGGGACGACTCTGGTTGGATAGCTTACAAAAGTAGGTTTGCTGAGGTGAGTTGATATAGACGTATTAATAAGCAGGTTTAAAAACTGGATTTTATGGGGGCGCCTGGGTGGCTCAGTTAGTTAAGCGTCTGCCTGTGGCTCAGGTCTTATGCCCGGGCTCCTGGGATCGAGCCCCGTTTTGGGCTCCCTGCTCAGCAGGGAGTCTGCTTCTCCCGCTCCCCCTGAACCTCCCCCTGCTCGCTCTCTCTCTCAAATGAATAATAAAATCTTTAAAAAAAAAAAACAAAAAAAACCTCTGGATTTTATGGCTACTTGTTACTGTGGCTACAAAACAATATATCTTTTACAAAGTTTGTCATTTTTTAATTGCCAGGGACATATGAATGTTTATATTTTCACCTGATTTTGTTGTTTAATTTCTTACACATTAATGTTAAATTGATGAAGAATTTATTTTTTATTTTTTTAAATTTTTTTAAAAGATTTTATTTATTTATTTGTCAGAGAGAGAGACAGAGCACAAGCAGGGAGAGCGGCAGGCGGAGGGAGAAGCAGACTCCCCGCTGAGCAAGGAGCCTGATGTGGGACTTGATCCCAAGACCCTGGGACCATGACCTGAGCCAAAGGCAGCCGCTTAACCGACTGAGCCACCCAGGCGTCCCCAGGAATTTATTTTTTAAACGGATAGCAAGTTTTCTTACCCATTTTTTAAACTTTTTTTTTTTTTTTTTAAGATTTTATTTATTTGAGAGAGAGAGCATGAGCAGGGTGAGGAGCAGTGGGGGAAGTAGACTCCCTGCTGAGCAGGGAGCCCAAAGCAGGGCTTGATCCCGGGACTCCAGGATCATGACCTGAGCCAAAGGCAGACATTTTACCGACTGAGCCACCTGAGCACCCCTAAGCATGTGGGGTTTTTTTAAAGATTTATTTATTTGAGAGAGAGAGAGCACACGAGCGCATGTGAAGGGGAAGGGCAGAGGGAGAGAGAATCTTAAGGAGACTGTGCACTGAGAATAGAGCCTGATGCAGTGCTCAATCCCATGACCCTGAGATCAGCTGAAACCAAGAGTTGGACACTTACCTGACTGTGCCACCTGGGTGCCCCAATTCTTATACTTTTTTTTTTTAAGATTTTATTTATTTATTTGACAGAGAGAGCCAGAGAGCACAAGTTGGGGGAAGTGGCAGAGGGAGAGGGAGAAGCAGGCTCCCCGGTGAGCAGGGAGCTCAATACGAGACTTAATCCCAGGACCCTCATATCATGACCTGAGCCTAAGGCAGATGCTTAACCGACTGAGCCTCCCAGACACCCCTCTTACCTGGTTTTTAATGATCCTTTTCCCCCACTAACTTGAAATGCCACTAGTAATTATTGGACACTCAATCTAATCTGTCTTTCAGTCTCATTGAGATCTTTTATTCCATTAATTTCTTCTATTTTTTCAGATTTAGTAAGGCACAATTGACAAAATAAACCTCATACGTTTAAAGTATACAATTTGATGAGTTTTAACTTACTTACATACCAATGTAACATCACAGTGAAGATAATGAGCATATCCATTGCCCATGTAAAATTTACTCATGTCTCTTTCAGACCTCTTTCTTTGTTCTCCTCCGTCCACCATAGGCAGCAAATACTGTTCTGCTTTCTGCCACTAGAGATTAGTGTCCATCTTCTAGAATTTTCTATGTGTGGAATCATATGGTATATACTCATTTTTTGTTTTTTTGTTGTTCAGTCTGGCTTTTTTCAGCATGAGTTTTTTTAATTTTAATTTTTTATTTCAATCCCAGTATAGAAGTCAAAGTGAGGGGCACCTGAGTGGCTCAGTCAGTTGAGCGTCTGCCTTTGGCTCAGGTCATGATCCCGGGGTCCTGGGATCGAGTTCCACATCGCTCCCCGCTCAGCAGCGAGTCTGCTTCTCCCTCTCCCTCTGCTCCCACTGGTTCTCTCTCTCTCTCTCAAGTAAATAAATTAAAATCTTTTTTAAAAAAGTAAAGTGAAATAGATGCAGTTAAAAATCATTGATTTTTATCTACTTTTCAATGTTGAATATTGGAGTAACAAGACATAGGCCTATATTGTTTATCTTCTGTGTCCCTCAGTCCCTTTTTAGCTTTTTTCTTGATTGTGCCTTCCTCCTCCATGTCAGCCTCCTACCTTTTCTGATGTAAGACAGTGATTTAGGGGAAAAGGATTTGATGAGAGAATATTAAAAACTGTCATTAAGAGTTCTGAAAGTAGGGCGCCTGGGTGGCTCAGTTGGTTAAGCAACTGCCTTCAGCTCAGGTCATGATCCTAGAGTCCCGGGATCGAGTCCCGCATCGGGCTCCCTGCTCAGCGGGGAGTCTGCTTCTCCCTCTGACCCTCCCCCCTCTCATGTGCTCTCTCTCTCTCTCATTCTCTCTCTCTCTTTCAAATAAATAAATAAATCTTTAAAAAAAAAAGAGTTCTGAAAGTAAATTACAAGTTAAAAAGTGTTTGAATATGGATTTTATACTAGTGGTTGCTTTTGACTTCCACAACTACATATGTATAGTTAACCTACATTTTTTTGAGACAGAGAGAGAGCGCACAAGTGGCGGGGGCAGAGGGAGAGGGAGAGGGAGAGAGAATCTTAAGCAGGGTCCATGCCCAGCACAGAGCCTGACACCAGGCTCGATCTCAAGACCCTGAGATCATGACCTGAGCCAAAATCAAGAGTCAGAGTCTTAACCAACTGAGCCACCGAGGCGCCCCTGTAGTGAACTATCTTTATAGCCATCTCTCCTCTGTATTTAACCTGCCAACAGAGTAAAGCGCCACACACACACTACATTTGGCATGTATCAGGCACTGATGACAATGATGGAGATGATATTTGCAAACACACAGTTCTGTTCTCTGTGCTAGGCACAGTTCTCAGTGCTTCATGTATATAAAGTCATTGCTTTCTCTCAACACTGAGTTAGGTACTTCCCTGACCCCACTTTGAAAGCACGAAGAGCTGTAACTCACTCACAGTCTCACAGGCTAGTAAGTGGGAGACACAAGATTTGAACCCAGGCGTTGGCTCTGTTGTCAGTGTTGAACTGCTTAAACTCTGATGGTTTTTCAGCACTTACTACAGTCTTTCTTAAGACAGTTCTGCAGGATACTAATTGCCCAGGATGGCAATAAATGTTCATTCAGTGAGGTTAAAAGAAAAGAGTGGGAGGAATCCGTAGTTAAATACATTGGAGGTAAATAAAGGCAAATATGTTTCTTTAGCAGCCTGCGGTGCTCATGTATGTTGTGAGTCTCTAAACAGGGCTTATAATTTGCAGAATGGACTCCACTTTTTTGATTGTGGAACCTTTTTCATACCTTCTCACAACCTCTCAAGGGACCACCAGTGTTCCTGAAGAATCTACCCTGGGTGACACTGACCTACAGAAACAAGTCCAAGCTCTGATCCTTGACTTAACAAGGATATTCACATCTGGCCCTGCTTATCTTCAGCTGGTCCCTCTTCAGCCTCCTTGTCCTCCCCACCCCCAGATCCCTGCTTACCCCTGCATGCTGCTGCCTCTGCCTGCAACGTCACTCATTCCTCTCCCCCGGCATTTCTGCTTGGCAGATTGCTCCTTCAAGCATCATTCTGTAAACGTTCCTTGACTCCCTGGGCATGTTCAGACATGCTTTCTGCAAGTTTCCTGTGTTGGCTTGTTCACAGCACTGTTTAGAGGTTACCGCGAGGGTACATTTATCTATGGTGAGTCTGTCATCTGCATCTTTAGCATCTTCACCAGTGCTGTCTAATGATAGGTATTTGTAATCCCTTCCAGTAGCTAAAAAGGGCAAATATAGTTTAATAGGTTTTTTTTTTAAGATTTTTATTTATTTATTTGACAGCGAGAGAGAGAGCACAAGCAGGGGGAGTGGCAGGCAGATGCAGAGGGAGAAGCAGGCTCCCTGCTGAGCAGGGAGCCCGATACGGGACTCGATCCCAGGACCCTGAGATCATGACCTAAGCCGAAGGCAGTTACTTAACCAACTGAGCCACCCAGGGCAAATATAGTTTAAAGAATGTTTTGTTGTCCCTCCCTAGACTGTCCTCATAATGATGATAGAAAATAATTGTTTTGATGATTGAAGTATCTAATTTGAAGGCAAACTGTGAATGTTACTAATTTGTAGTTGCTGTTTTTAATTTCACTTTTATTTTTTCCACAATTTTTTAAAAAGATTTTATTTATTTATTAGAGCAGGGGAGAGGCGGGGGGGGGGACAGGGAGAATCAGACTCCCTGTTGAGTAGGGACCCTGGCATGGGGCTCAATCCCAGGACCCTGGAATCATGACCTGAGCTGAAGACAGACGCTTAACCATCTGAGCCACTCAGGCACCCCTCTTTTCACTGTTTTTAGTGATTTTGGGTTTTTTGGTAATTTCAAAAAGAAAAGAGATGAGAGTCCTAACTCTTACAAGAGACAACCGGAGCCTTCTGGTGCTGTAGAGCTGTGATCGTACCCCTGAAGCACTTATTTGCATTCCCCATCCTTTACATTGTGCTCTCTGTATACAGATATGATTCAAAAGTCTTTTGTTTCTTTCCAAAGGCATGCCATGTATCAGCAGAACAAAGAAAACTTCCAGGATGAGTGCACTAAGCTTCTGGTTGGCAATATTGTTATAACCCGATACAACAATCGTACCTATCGTATTGATGATGTGGATTGGAATAAGACACCAAAAGATAGCTTCACAATGTCTGATGGGAAGGAGATCACATTCTTGGAATACTACAGGTGGAAAGAAGGGACTGGGCTTGGGTCTTTGGGTGGCTGTGGGTTACAGGCTACCATTCTGTAGTGGGAGATTGAGTTCCATAGTAGCATACAGTGGGACGCTTTTAAAATAATTGGATTGGTAACACACCTAAGGTTGAATGAGCTTGTTTGTGGGATTTGACCTGAATATGCTACCCTTCCAGTTTCATTTCTTTTAGTAATTTTGGAAGTTACTTTATAAATTAATACCAGGATTTTGAATTACATTTCTTTTGTTGGTTTAGGTAGAAGTCTGGTTGGAGAGATTAAATTCAAGTCTTTAATCATTTGACTATCATCTTGTCTTTCCAGTTGCCCAAGCCTTTCAACCTGATGCAGTTTTTTTTTTAAAGATTTATTTATTTGAGGGTGGGGGGAGTGCACACGGGCAGGGGGAGGGGCAGAGAGAGAGGGAGAGAGAGAGAGAGAATCCCAAGCAGACTCTGCGTGGAACCTGACGTGGGGCTTGATCCCACAACCCTGAGATCATGACCCAAGCCAAAACCGGGAGTTGGATGCTTAACTGACTGAACCACTCAGGCACCCCCAACCTGATGCAGTTCTAAGCATATTTTTCCCTGGACGTTAGACTCTTTCTCCTCCATTTAATTGCAGTGTTAACTTGAGCCTGCCTTTTCCAGTTATAAATATGCTATAATGAGTTTCTGGTGGATCCTTGACAAAGGTATTATGCAAATTATGTACCCCAGTACTGGTTAAGACACCCAGACTGTGTTGCCATACAGTAGTGATGCTGCTTCTGAAATGTTTTCCTGCCTCTGCCCTGCTCTAGCAAAAACTATGGGATCACAATTAAGGAAGAGGACCAGCCACTGCTGATCCACAGGCCCAGTGAGAGACAGAATAACCAAGGGATGGTGAGTGGGGGGGTTGTCAGATTTGCACTTCTAGCTTAAGCTCTTCATCCATGGTGCCGGGAGCCATGGAGCAGGGTTACAGTGTGGTTGGGGAAAACTCTGCAGGGCTGTCTCATCTAGCCAGTGGTGTCACTTCATGCGGTAGGATTTGCTTTTGAAGTCCCCATAATGAGGAGCTAAGTATCCATATGAGCAAGTTAGGTTAAGGAATAAGGAGAATTTTCTGCTAAAGATTAAAACACTGGATCCATTGGGAAAGTTGTAGACATTTAACAGGGACTGGAGCCAGGGGAAAGTACCTTGACACTGACTGTTCTGTCTTAAGGGAGAAGGCTGAAGATCAACCAGCTAAGATAAGATCTGGAGGCCCCAGCTGGATGGGATGTATCGCCTTAGTTTGTCTGGAGGCCCAAGAGGGACGGGTTTTTTTTTTTTCTTTCTTTATAGTTTTTCCGCTTTTTTTGACCATTTCAACATTTTTCCCTTTACCTAATATAGTAGGCTGTAAGTATTATGACTGAGGGGAAAAGGGTAAAATACTTGTAGTGTTTCACTGTCCTCTTTTCTGGGGTTTTGTGTTCCTTATTGTGCCAGTTATGTCCCTGCAGGCCCAGTCCTGGGCATGGCATGTCCTGTGAGGTCAGAGGAACAAGACCGTCTTTACTGCCTTATTTTTCCTCTCCATTCTCTCCGCAAAGCTGCTAAAAGGCGAAATCCTGCTGCTACCTGAGCTTTCGTTCATGACTGGAATCCCTGAGAAGATGAAGAAGGACTTCAGAGCCATGAAGGTGAGAAATGCCCGTGTTGATTGGAAGCCCTTTTTGAGAACAGCTTGAGCTAGATCTGGGCAGGCCTGTGTCATCACCTGGGCAGGTCTGTTCTTCCAGGCTCCAGTTCTCTCTGTAAAACATGCTCCATGTCCCTTCCCACATACTAAAATAGCTGATTGGAGCTCCTTTTTGAAGATTGTTGAAAACAAAACAGTGGAGTGACTTCTGCCTTATGAGGTAGAAGGAAACAAGTAATTCTGTCTTCACCCCCACCAATCAGATAGATGACTGTAAACTGGTCATATGATCATAAGTGAGGTTCTTTTGATAGCTCTGAGTTTTTCTAGCATTCCTACAAGCTTTCAGTCTATTTAAAGGGGTGGGGGAGATAATGTAGGAAAAAGTAATCAACAAGTCAGAGGCTGAGGTAAAAGGATAGAAGTTTATCTTGTGGGGTGTGGAGTGTCCAGGAGGTGTTGGGCTGAATTCCCATAGGAAATAGCTGAGAAGCACAGATGTGGGCAGCAGCATCAGTCTGGAGCCCAAGCACTTCACCTCCACTCTGTCTGCAGCACTTGGGGCTTTGCACACGCGAGCTCCTGTGCTGCCTCACTCTCCCAGCACGTGTCTGTTACCCTTGGACCCATGTCTGTCTCCGATGCCACAGACTATTTTCAATAACATCGTAAAGAGCCCGAAGTGAAGCTTAGCATATCTGGAAGAGATTTCTTTCATGTCTACCTTCGTTCCTTCTCTGTTTAGCATGTAGGTCAAGGCTCCTTCCTTACAACACTCAGTCACCTAATGACTTTATGATCACAGAGCTATCTGTGCCACCCTGCAGACTGGCAGTAATGACTGCCTCATAGGGAACAACAACTGGATAGTTCTTTGGTCCCAGAAGAGTAAAGAACTCACATATGTGATTCAGAATCTTCATGTATACCTTTGGGTCTTTATTTAACAATAACATTTAGTGGGGCGCCTGGGTGGCTCAGTCGTTGAGCGTCTGCCTTCGGCTCAGGTCATGGTCCCAGGGTCCTGGGATCGAGCCCAGCGTCAGGCTCCCTGCTAGGCGGGGAGCCTGCTTCTCCCTCTCCCACTCCCTCTGCTTGTGTTCCCTCTCTTTGTGTGTCTCTCTCTGTCAATTAAATGAATAAAATCTTAAAAAAAAAAATAACATTTAGAAAGCATGAATTATGGACCAAACACTGGACAAAAAACTTGTCTTATGATGACATTAAATACAGTAGTAGTATGACATGAAGTATAAAACTGGATCTGGTTTTCCCTTCTGTTATGTTTGGCTCTGCCTGGCACAGGACATTTTTCCCCCTATTTTTCCCAAATATTAAATAGGTGTAATCAAGCCCCTTTTGCTCCTGTTTCATAGAATTTCTAAGGAGTTTTTTTTTAAGATTTTATTTATTCATTAGAGAGAGAGAGCACACAAGTGGGGGGGCAGAGGAAGAGGGAGAAGGAGAAGCAAACTCCCCACTGAATAGGGAACCCCGATGCAGGGCTGGATCCAGGATCCTGGGATCACGACCTGAGCCGAAGGCAGATGCTTAACTGACTGAGCCACCCAGGTGCCCTTGAATTTCTTAGGAATTTTAAATTCAGAACATGGTTTTGAGAAAGAGGTAAGATTTAGCTGTCATGTGGGAGAAAGAAACAATAACATTTCAAATTCTTTTATGATTAAAATTTTAACCATATACTTCATTTACATTCCTGAGAGATGTTTATTAAAATTTTTGGAGTATTCAAAAATGTCTACAGGGTGCCTGGGTGGCTCAGATGGTTAAGCGTCTGCCTTCGGCTCAGGTTATGATCCTGGGGTCCTGGGATCGAGTCCTGCATCGGGCTCCCTGCTCCTTGGGAGCCTGCTTCTCCCTCTCCCTCTCCCTCTGCCTCTCTCTCTCTCTCTCTGTCTCTCATGAATAAATAAATAAAAAAAAAAACTTAAAAAAATGTCTACAGATTTCAGTGAAAAGGAGGTCTTCTTTTGGAAATGTTTTAGACATACTGGGGTTTAACTTCATATTGGAGAAACTAATACTTATAACTTATTATCTCCATTTTAAATCTATTTAGGATTTGACCCAGCAGATCAACCTGAGCCCCAAACAGCACCATAACGCTTTGGAATGCTTGCTCCAGAGAATTTCAAAGAATGAGACAGCCAGCAATGAATTGGCACGCTGGGGACTCTGTCTGCAGAAGGATGTACATAAGGTAAAGTGAATGTAGCCGAGTAGGAAACAGCATTGAACAGTGATTTTAAGAGCTTAGTGAAGTAGGTGATAGCTTCCTCTCTTGTCTTTATTTTGGAGTTTTGCTCTATTATTATACTTTTTTGGGGGGGTCCTAGTCATAATATTTGAATTTTCTTCTCTTAATTTGTTAGTATCTCTTATTTTTCTTCTGTATTTCACAGAGATCTGAGCTGTTAATTTTCAGTCAAACAGATAGTAAAGGGAATATTGACTTAAATTTTATCTCATTTTTGGGGTGCCTGGATGGCTCAGTTGGTTAAGCGTCTGACTCTTGATTTTGGCTCAGGTCATGATCTCAGGGTTGTGAGATCATGCTGCACGTTGGGCTCCGCGCTCAGCAGGAATTCTTTTTTTTTTTTTTAATTTTTTTATTGTTATGTTAATCACCATACATTACATCATTAGTTTTTGATGTAGTGTTCCATGATTCATTGTTTGTGCATAACACCCAGTGCTCCACGCAGAATGTGCCCTCTTTAATACCCATCACCGGGCTAACCCATTCCCCCACCCTCAGTAGGAATTCTGCTTAACATTCTCTTTCTCCCTCTCCCTTTTCCCCTCCCCGTGCTCACCTGCACTCTCCCCACCCCCTAAAATAAATAAGTCTTTATTAAAAAAAATTACCTCATTTTCAGTTTTCCAATCCAGATAATTCTTAAGGTTCTATATGTCCTTTTTTCTTTTCCAAGTTTTTTTTCTCTCCCAATAATTAACTTGTGATTCTTTGAATATACTGTTGTCATTCTTTCCATAGGCATAGAGAGTTTTGGATTTACACCATCTGATTTTCTTACGGCCCTTTCTGCCTGCATTTTGCTTGCATCTGCTATGTTGTATTTTGTGCAGCATGATCCATAGGGCAGAGGTAGTGTGAGATGGTGTGGAGTCCTTGGCTTTCTATGTCCACTTATTTGGCTTTGAATCTCAGTTTTACCGCTTGCCATCTTAGTTACTTTGAGCAAATTGCCTAGCATCTCTTAGTATTTTTATCTGTAAAATATGGATAATGATTGAGTTATAAGAATGTAAATGGTAACATTCTCAGCATAGTATGTGACACATAGCAAGTGCTAAATAAACATTAGCTATTATTACTTTTCACCTTTCTTTTGAGGTTATACCAAAATAATTAATTCTATCTTTTCTCTAATTCTCTTGTACTCTGAATTGACTCCTTGTTAAAAAAATTTTTTTTAAATAAAAGTAATGGATAGTCAATAAGGAAAGTGTTGAAACCTCACAAAAAGTAAAGAAAGAAAAACATTAGTAATTTCATCATCCGAAGATGATATCTCAGTGATTTATTTTTTTTTTTTTTTAAAGATTTTCTTTATTTGTCAGAGATAGAAAGAAAGTACAAGCAGGGGGAGCAGCAGGCAGAGGGAGAGGGAGAAGCAGGCTCCCTGCTGAGCAAGGAGCCTGATGTGGGACTTGATCCTAGGACCCTGGGATCATGACCTGAGCTAAAGGCAGATGCTTAACCCACTGAGCCACCCAGGCATCCCTCAGTGTTTTATTTTAGATAACGTATGAAAGATACTTCAGTGTATATCCTTCCTCCACATTTTTCTGTGAAAATAAATCTTTTTTTTTTTTTACAAAGCTGTGATTATATCGTATATGGTTTTACATCTTCTTTTTCATTTAATACTGTATTTTGAACATGTTTTTGTGTTATTAACTATTAATTTGAAAATGTAGAAAATATAAGCCAAAGAAGAAAAAAGTTCATCTATTTGAGAATAAACTGTTAACATTTTTGTATATATCCTTCAGTGGGGGTGTGTGTGTGTACATGTGCATGCTTGCGTGCTTATGCATACTCATGCACGGCATGTATTCATACAGTTTCCTTTTTTCCCTCAGTATACCTAGAATGTTTTTCCATGTCATTTAATGTTTTTGTAAACATTTTAATGGCTGCTAGATAGTTTATTAACAATTTTCTATTCTTTTACATTAAAATTGAATTTAATATTTTTAAATTAGAAATAGTTATTCAGGGGCACCTGGGTGGCTCAGTCATTAAGCGTCTGCCTTCGGCTCAGGTCATGATCCTGCATCGGGCTCCCTGCTCAGCGGGGAGCCTGTTTATCCCTTTGCATGCCGCTTCCCCATGTGTGCGCTTGCTGTCTCGCTCGCACTCTCTCTCTGCCAAATAAATAAATAAAATCTTAAAAAGGAAATAGTTACTCAGTAAACAGCCTTGTAACTAAGTCTTTGTAATGTTGTTTATTTTCATAGATTTTGTGGAAGTGGAATTATTAGGTCAGGGGACATTTATGTTTTTAGTGCTTGTATTACATACATATTGCCAGTTGCCTTCTAGAAAAGTTCAGAAGTTTTTTACTTTCACATCATGAGTTTGATTCCTTACTCTTGCTATTGTTATTTATGTTAATAAACTCATTGAATGTTTTTTTTGGTTATAGATTAAGTATTTTTCTAAAGATTGATTTATTTGAGAGAGCAAGAGCGAGAGAGAAAGAGAGCGCACATGAGAGTGCCTGTGCAAGAGCATGGGGAGAGGAAGAAGGGAGAGGGAAAGAATCTCAAGCAGACCGCCCGCTGAGCACAGAACCTGACATAGGGCTCCATCTCACAACCCTGAGATCATGACCTGAGCCAAAATCAAGAGTTGCGCACTTAACCAACTGAGCCACCCAGGAGCCCCAGTATTTGTTATTTTTAAATAAGCAAATGGTGGAGATCGTAGTAAAAATATGCATCCCCAGAGATAATCACCACTAAGTATAGACTCATTCAGTTTTTATTATGCGTACATTACTATTTTTTTTTTTAAACAGGATCATATTCGTTAGAAAGTAGTTTTAATGGTTACAGAGTAGTCCATCGTGTTGTTATATCATCAGCTTAATTATCTTCTTATTTTTGGATATTTAGATTTAATTGACTTATTCCTAACTTTAATTTGTTCTTTCATTATATTTATGTCTTTCCTTCCTGTTTTTCTTTTTAAAGTGTAGTAGTTTATGTTCAGCCTTATTAAGAAATTTTGCTTTTAATTTTCTTTCAATTTGTCCCTTAAAATATTTTTAAAAAATTATTTTCCTATTTATCTTGAAATTATAGTTATTTTACATGCATTCTCTACTTCTAAAGAGGCAATGCTTTCTAATCCCTTTCTTGGGAGACCATGTTAGAAGCTTCAATAATTGAAGAGCCATGTCTATAAAAATTTTACCTGTATACGTCCAGAGTGTTATTGGCCTAGCCTAGACTCACTCACTGCTAACAGTTTCATTTCTGTGCCATTCTCGGAAGTTATTACAGGGACAGGTTTACATAGTGGAGTTGACCAGGCCTGAGAGAGAACAGTATCAGTAGTGTTTGCAGATGGCTCATGTCATGGATACTTTGTTTTGTGTTTAGATTGAAGGACGTGTTCTGCCAATGGAAAGAATTAACTTAAGAAATACTTCATTTATCACATCTCAGGAACTAAACTGGATTAAGGAAGTAACCAGAGACCTTTCCATCTTGACTGTAAGTGACTTTTGAGCTGGTGAAGAGAGGACCAGTATTCCTATAAGTATGGAAATTAAGAAGCAGGAATGATTCAGTGTCTTCTTTTTGAGGGAGACTACCAACTGAATTCCCATCCTGAATTATCTATTAACCTGGGGTCCTCCAAATAGAGCAAATTGATGAGTTGTTAGAAATAAGCACTTTGGCCATAAACTTAGGAAAAGGAGATAGATTGCTATGGTAATTCATATAGTGCCAGCCTATTACCCACTCTCCCTTTTATCTTCCCCCGCTTTTCCCTGGGGTTTCCTGAAAGATGTTCTTATCCATGAAAGGAGTATAATTAAAACAGCCTCCACCAAAGGAACTAAAGAACAAAATGGTATATAATTATTTTTAAATGTTTTTGGCTAACCTCGTCTTTTTGGCCATGCATAAAGTACTCACATCTGTTTCTAAAACTTTTTATTGAAATATGTTTAAAGAAAAAGTATACTTACAATTGTAAGTTTGATGAATTTTCAAAGGTTCATAAATCTGTGTAATCCACACGAAGGGTTAAGAAAGAGAACTTTATCAGTGCCCCAGAAGCCATCTCTCCAGCTCCTCGTTACTACCTACCTCTCACTTACAAACTATATGAGTAGTCACTATCCTGACTTTTAACAGCACAGATTCATTTCAGTTGGTTTTTGTATTTGATGTATACATAAAACCATATGGTATATATTCTTTTATGTCTGGCTTAATTTCTTCAGCCTTGCATTGGTGGATTTCATCCATATTGTTAGATATGGTTGTAGGTCTTTCATTCTCATTGCTGCATAGTATTCCACTGTGAAAGTATCCCGCAGTTTACTTATCACATGTATTTGTGTTAGTTACAGGAATTAGATCAGAAAGGACTCAAGCAGAGTTATAAGCAATTTGTTCTCTAGAATAATACCTCCTGGGTGTGACTTCAGAGTGTCTAAGTTGTGGGAAGAGCTAAAAATAGCTTGTGGTTATTCCTAGGTCCCCATGCATTTCTGGGCACTGTTTTACCCAAAGAGAGCAATGGATCAGGCCCGAGAACTGGTTAACATGTTGGAGAAGATAGCTGGCCCCATTGGTATGCGCATGAGCCCACCGGCCTGGGTTGAACTCAAGGATGATCGAATAGAAACCTATGTCAGAACCATTCAATCCATGCTAGGAGTTGAGGTAATAAATTAGAGTATATTTATAGGAAGCCTGTTTTAAAATACTTGAATACTTGATCTTAAATTATCTTGGTCATCGGTCTGCTGTTTATGATGTCCAGAAACTTGTGTGTTACTCATGTACACATGAAATACTGAGCTAAGTGTAAGTAATCTTTATGCTCTTTGGTTAATTCTGCTTCTCTTATTCTGTGTTGGCAGCCTCACTCTTATGTTCTTTTTTTACATAATTGACAGAATAGCTGACTTAACTTTAATTTCTTATCTATATAGAACATGTGCTCCTAAAGCAACTTTCTGGGCCTGGTGCCATTTTGCACAGTTCTGTACTGAGCTGTCACAGTCTGGTCTGGCTTAAGATTTGAATTGCTCTGGCGATGAACATGGCACCTGACCCATTGGCTCGGTCCTGACAGCCAATCAGGACCACTGGAGGTGAGCAGGTCATAGCACTCGTAACTCAGTAGTTCAGGCCTGCAGTTCTTACCTGTTTGTACACAAAACACAGGAAGAAGCTTAAGGAGGGAACAAAAGCAGAGGAAAAGTTTTTGGAAGTAACTAGTCTTTGACTTGAAGAGTCCTTTCTTGTGAGATCAGTACTAGAATGAGATTATCTTGGGATCTCTCTGATCCCCGATTCTGGGTTATCACCCACAACAGCACCCTCGTGTTCTGTCTCTCTCTGTAATTTCTTCCTGGTTTCCCAGGCTTGTAGTCTGCTGTGGCCTCCCCCTAGGCCTGATCATTGATAATTCTGCTCTGCTTTCAAAAGAATAACCCCGTGTAGTACATCAGCTCCCGCATCTCACCACTTGCCACGTTCTCTTTAGGAGGGTGTACTGCTATCAGTTCTCATGCAGCATGGATATGAGGTTCATTCATCGTGTTTACCAAACTTAACTCATATTGGTCTTGTCTCTGTCGTCTTTAGGGCATGCTGTTTTATTATTTGTTAGGGGTCACAAACTCAGAATGTCTGCGGGAGCCAGGTGAATAACACAAACAAGTGAACTGGGCTAGGAGGAGGCTATAGTGAACTAAAGAGAGTAAGCCCTATGACTGCAGATAGAAGCACAGCATTATCAAATTAATTTTTAATTTATTTATTTTTCAGTAGAAGCAAAAGATCTGGATTTGTGTGTATGTTCCCCTCCTTATGTGTAAATGTTAATTAAAAAAGGCGGGTACCTGGCTGGCTCAATCTCTTGATCTCAGGGTCATGAGTTCAGGCCCCATATTGGGCATGGAGCCTACTTAAAAATAATAATAATAATAATAAAATTTAAAAAGTGTTAATAAACAACAACAACACATGTAAGTTACTACAGGGACTAAAAAGCTTCATGTGTTTGATAGGTCCAGCCCATAGGCTGCCAGTGTGCAGCCTGTGTTCTCCATGACTTTGGAAGTTCTTTGATGTGATAACTAGAATGTGTGTTCTCATGTCTTCTTTTTTTTTTTTTTTTTAAGATTTTATTTATTTGTCAGAGAGAGAGAGAGAGAGCGCATGCAAGCACAAGCAGGGAGAGTGGCAGGCAGAGGGAGAAGCAGGCTCAGGGAGCCGGATGTGGGACTTGATTCCAGGACTTGATTCCAGGACCCTGGGATCATGACCTGAGCCAAAGGCAGATGCTTAACTGACTGAGCCACCCAGGTATCCCTCGGAGAGATCTTAATCTAACACTAATCTTGATTTGGAATAATATACTGTTGACTTACCATTAATATCTGTTTCTGGCATAAAGAATTGGCACCTTTATTTCAGTTGAGTGCTACTTTTCTTTATTCAGACTTTGAAAGATCCTATGTTTCCAGTGTTGGACCTCTTAATTAAACAGTGAGGGGTCAAGGATGCTTATATGAGATACTCTGCTGGCAATATCATTCTATCTCCTAACCAGAGAGTTAGGAAGAGCCACTTAGGGATTTGGCAATAGCTTCATTTGTTTGTGTTTCGCTCTGAATGCTTTCTTGTGGTATGTTTCATGTTTCCTCAGTTTTGTGGTAGGAATGTAATAAGGTACTTAGTTTACTGAAGAGAGTGGTAAAAAGCATTATAGGGAATTGAAAGCAGCAACTAAGTAACCCTTGCAAATTTTCAAGCCTGCCTTTTCCAGGCATCTTAAGTCTCAAAGACGTCAGGTAGTCAGGACCAGGTCTAGATAATTTACAGTATCATATTCCGTATCTGTGCAAGGAAGCCCCGAACCCAACAACGGTTCAAAGACCTATTTGGGGTTGGAATGCCTACCCTCATTGTTTCAATCCGCCTCTGCCTTAAAGGTCCCATGACTTTGCAGGCTCTTAGACTGCCCCCAACTGGAGCCCCATCATGGTCCCCTGAGAGTTCCAAAGCCTGATTTATATGTACTTTATCTCCTCAAGGGGAAGATACAGATGGTTGTTTGCATCATCATGGGCACACGTGACGATCTCTATGGGGCCATTAAAAAGCTGTGCTGTGTACAAGCTCCTGTGCCCTCACAGGTGAGTGGGAGCCGGGCAGGAGGCACAGATGGAAACTAGAGCCTCCCTTGAGGCTTTGAAAAGAGGCATACAGGTGTTCCGAAAGACTGCAGTAACTATTAGAAGCCATCATGTGTAATCTTTCTGGTGGAACATTCCCCTTATTAGAGTAACCTGGTTAAAAGCAGATGCTCTTTGTAAATGCTGCCTTCATGTTCTCAAATGAGTTACTCTTGCTGGTTCAGTGGGTGGTGGGTGGTTTCACATGACTGGGTTCTGAGAGGATAGGCTTCACTCTGAAAGGGGAAAGCTGTTTTTCCTAAGTAGGTTTAAAAAAAATTATTCTGTATGAGATTCTTTTGAAAGTTTTTGTTTTTTGGTTGTTTTTTTCATTTTGTTTTGATTTGTGTTTGTGGGGTGTGTGTATGTGTGTGTGCATGCCTGCCTAAAAATCCTAGAATTAGACCTAGTCAGGCAAAGTATATTGTCTGCTGACTGGGGTTTCTTAAACAAATGTAGTGTTTACTTCAGGCTTGTTTACATCGTCTGACAGGCTGATAGTGTCCTCTTTCCCCACGCCCCTTTGTTATAGGTCATCAATGTCCGAACCATTGGTCAGCCGACCAGGCTTCGGAGTGTGGCCCAGAAAATTTTACTTCAGATTAATTGTAAATTGGGTGGTGAGCTCTGGGGAGTGGATATTCCTCTGGTGAGTGATGCTGAGATGTGTCTTCATTCAATTTAGCTCTCCAGAGACTCCTACCTAGTTGTTTTCCTGGTTTTCCTCATAGAGTTATCTTTATTCTCCATGCTTAGTCGTCTAAATGGTTCATAGCGTGATTTTGTATAGCCCACGTGCTAAGAATGGTTTTTATAACTTTAAATAGTGGAAACCAATCAGAATAAGACGAATATTTCCTGACACATGAAAATTATATGAAATTCCATTTTCTGTGTCTTTAAATGCAGTTTTAGTGGGCATACAGCCATACTTCTTTACAGACTAGCTACGGCTGCTCTTGTGCTATAATTGAATAGTTCCTGCAGAGACTGCGTGGCTCATAGAGCCCAACGTTATTTACTGGTTAGTCCTTTACAGAAGAAGTGTGCTGCTCCTGTTCTAGATCTCGGACTTGTTCATAGTGTTGAAAAAAATGTCAAGTTGATGTCAGTCTTTCTCTTGCTTTCCCAGAACTTATTTTCATATGTTGCTTTTGGGGTGCAGATAACAAAAAGATGGGGTGATGGATTGCTTGTTTTGGGTTTTTTGTTTGTTTGTTTTCTAACCCAGAAACAATTAATGGTGATTGGGATGGATGTTTACCATGATCCTAGCCGAGGCATGCGCTCTGTGGTTGGCTTCGTTGCGAGCATCAATCTGTAAGTACTACTCATAGTGCCATTTTGTTTGGTTATCTCATTTTGATGCCTAATCTTACTATAAATCCAGCAAATACTTTTTGAATATTTTGTATTATGGTAAAAGTGTACTCTACAAAAGTATACTAAATTTTTTCCTGCTTTATGTTCCTATTAGTTTATTCAGTCTATTTACCAGACATGTCAGATCTGTAAATTTGTTCCCCTGGCTGTGGTGTAATCTTCTTCAGAATGGGGGCTGTGTCTTAAGTGGTTCCCGCCTGCCCAGGAATGAGGGATTTTTTTGTTCTGATTGTAAAAACAAGGCATGCTTTTGCAGATACCTGCAGAAATTTAGAAAGTGAAACTTCCTCATGGGCAATCTTCTATTAACTACCACCAAAGGTTTGATTTTAGATCAAACTTTTAGATTCTCATTTATGCACATAGTAACACATAGGTGGTGTATGTATGTATACAAAGTGGCATATTACTATGTATACTATTCCTTAGCTTGTTTTATGTACTTAAATTGTATATTGCTGATATTTTCTCATATCCATACAAATAAATCTCAACCAATTCTTCTCAACTGCTGCATGGAATTTGTTGTATGCTAGAGCACTATTTAACTAGTTTTCTGTTGACTAGGTGGTTAAATTTTTTCAGTTGGAAGCAGTTTTGTAGCAAATACCACAATTATGCCTTTATTTTTACATTCTATGTGTGGCGCATATATATATGTGTCTTTCCCCGTATGTACGTGTATCTTTTCCCATATCGCCATGTGTTTTTACCTGTAGGATAAATGCATTTACTAGGTACTTGTATTTGCATAGAGGGGCCTGTGTGTAATGACATTCAGACCGTGGGCCTCCCTCTGCGAGTGTGTCTTCATCTTTCCGTCTTCTCTCTCTCACCCCCTCTTCCCCAGCACTCTCACAAAATGGTACTCACGAGTGGTATTCCAGATGCCTCATCAGGAGATTGTGGATAGCCTGAAGCTGTGCCTGGTGGGCTCCTTAAAAAAGTTTTATGAGGTGAGGAGAACAGAAATTTTGTTTTATTCTATTTTTTGAAGATTTTATTTATTTATTAGAGAGAGCTCATGAGCACAAGCAGGGGGAGTGATAGGCAGAGGGAGAAGCAGGTCGCCCGCTGAGCAGGACCCCGGGATCATGACCTGAGCCAGAGGCAGATGTTTACCGACTGAGCCGCACAGGCGCCCCAGAACAGAAATCTTAAAGTTTCAGGGTTTTTAAGGACTGCCTATCTGACCACTTTAGGAGGAACTCTGATTTACCGGGAGGGGTCCCAAATTGAAGGTGTCTCCTAAACAGATTGAAAAGTTAGTCATTGCTGAACAGGCAGCTCAGAGGGACTGCTTTCAGGCTTCTACTTGTACAAGAGATAAATCTTTGATTTTGTTTGGTAAGTAATGATTATTCCCAGGTTGTCAGCCTGATACCTGTAGACATAATCTTCATGCCCTTATCAGGGAAGTGGGGGTAAATTTCACCAATTAAAGAAGCTTATGAATTTACTCAGCTTTTTATGGCTATTATTAAGCACTTTTCATTTTGGTTCAAGACAAAGACCTCCGTGTAAATCACCCCTGAAACTCCCAGGAATGGTAACCATGGAGAATTGCTGTCATTAAACTGATACTGGGTCTGGCACAATGAGCAAGCAAAGTATTGGGTTTTACCTTGGCCAGTACATCAAAGGAAGTGCTGATAAGTGGCTTTCATTTCTTAGGGTCAGAGTTAGCCCTTTGCATAGAGATTAACAGCAAAAAATTTAATAATTTCATATGATTACAGTCAGTCACTAGAACTCCACCTTATTTCTTTTTAGATTAATGTTTCCTACACTGTCCTTCAATTAGCTTAATATTCTTTCAGTATTTGAGATCATGTAAAAAAAAAAAGTTTAATTTTGTTTAAGGAGACCTATATATATGCTCTTTTGTCACCAAGTCCTACCACACCTTCCTTTTTCTTGTTGTTGATGCTATTTTTTCCCTTCAAGCTCTTCTGTAGGCCCTACCTTTTCAAAGATTGCTTCTTTGAAGCCTTTTCCGTTTTCCCCCCACTGCTCCATTCCCTTAGACTTACTTATGTTCCTTCCTCTTCCCAGGCCCCTTGTTTATTTATTAATTTTTTCCAAGGCCCCTTGTTTATATTCTGTGTAGTGGCTATTACATTTTGCCCTGTATTAGTTGGTGGTATCCTTATTTATCTTTCTCTGGGTTGTGAATTACTTGAGCACTGCTTGGTTCTTGATGGACGTGTAACAAATTTACCCTAAAACTTAGTGACATGCAGTGAGCATTTATGATTCTGAAGTCAAGGAGTCAAGAAGTTGAGCAGGGTGCAGTGGGCTCTGGTGCCTCTTCATGTGGTCTTTCCACATGAGCTACTTTGGGCTTCCTCACAGCATAGTGGCACACGGTTCAAGGTGTGAGCATTCCAAGAAACTAGAGCCAGGTGGAAATCATGTTGCCTTTATACCATAGCCTTGAAAGTCATGCAATATCACTTTCACTGCATTCCATTTGTCCAGTAGTCTCATTGTAAATATGCCTAATATTTGGAGGAGCCAGTGTGGGGATGGGATAGATTTAAATAATGGGTCTGCTCTATAAAGCTGTTACATACATTTTCATATGTTTGTACTAATTTAATTACATTTTCCCCCTCAATTTGCCACTGTTTGTTCCTTACAATAAATTTGTGCAGAACTCTTGAGTGTAGAATTTAGCTGGTGGTTAACTAATCCAGTTCTTTCTCAGGCCATTCATTCTTCCATCAGTATTACATCCTGAAGAAGCATTAACCCAATTTCCCAATATATTTGACTGTCAACATCAGTATTATTAGAAGACTTGTTTAAGTAATATAACTGATTCTTAACCAACGAGGTTAGTGTCCCATCACATTGCAGTATGGTAGTAAATATAACCTGAAATATGAGTCAGCGGATACTGAGGCATTACTAGAGTTCCACTCAGTCATGAGTAATTACTCCAGTTCATTGTCATATTACATGACCAAAATATCTTCCAGAGCTATGCCACTTAAGTTTGCAGGCTTTCATTTGACATTGTCAGGTTCTAAAAGCAAGAATAGTCTCAGCAACATGGCTCTACTTTTTCAGGCATGGGGTACACTTAAGCTACAGGCAATAATATTATCTCTTGTTCTAAGCCTGTTTTGAGATACCAATGAATGTAATATTGGATTCCCCTCATTGCATAACCATTGATTCATTCCTTTATCCTCAGCTACCATTCTTCCTTCCCTCCATTCATACCCTAACTTTTCTACCTTTGGAAGGAATGTTAGGTTTGGCCCCTATGCTGGTGCAGGTTGCTGATAGCAATGCTGGTCTGGCAGGTGCTTCCACCTTAGTGCACTCCCATTCATATAGGGAAGGGCTACACAGGTACAGAATTAGTGAGCTCTCTTGCCCACTAGGCAGTTTAGCTACATTTCCTGTGAACCGCAATTTTGCTAGAGGGGTGAAAGCACGATCTACCCCATCAGGCCCTTAGGAATTTCATCATAAATGTTTAAAAATACACAGTTTTTTGCTTAGAGATTGTTACAGATTGAATTATATCCCCCACACAAACACAAAAAGGTATTGACATTCTAACCCTCAGTACTAGTGAATGTGACTATATTTGGAAATAGGGCCTTTGCAGATGATGGAGTTAAGATGAGGTCATTAGAGGGTGCCCTAATCCAGTATGACTGTGTCCTTAGGAAAAGAGGAGATTTCAACACAGAGGCAGATACACGTAGAGGAAAGACGATGTGAAGACACAGGGAGATTGCCGGCTATAAGCCAAGGACCACCTGAGGCCACCAGAAGCTAGGAGGGAGTCATGGAACAGATTATTATCCCTCATAGCCCTCAGGAGGAACCAACCCTGCCAACACCCTGATCTCAGACTTCTAGCCTCCAGCCCTGTGAAACAATACATATCTGCTGTCGAAGCCACTCAGTTAGTGGTACTTTGTTATGGCAGCCCTAGTGAACGGATACACAGTTCATCCCAGCTCTGGCACCTGCAGTTGCAGCTCTGGTCTGAGAACCAGTAGGAAAAAAGAGTGTTGAGGTCACATGGGAAAAACAAAAAAACGTATTGTTATACCAGCATCTTCCTCCACCCCCTCTTCTGTGGATCCCCCACAGAAGGGTCTGAGAGACATCCTCTGGGCCCTGCTCATGTTGAGTGTCAGTACATACTCATGAAAGCATGCAAGTCAACCCTTCATGCCTTTATTCCCTCCATTTTAGACAAAAAATGTTTCAATTGTCCCTTCTATTCTCTGTCAAACTGTTGCTCTGAGGATGAAAATGTGTTCCTTGGTCACAAGGAAATGTGAGTTGTCCAAATTGATGCAGTATCTTCTGTTTTAGACCTTTTTTTTTTTTTTAGTATTTTGAGCATTTATGTCTACCAGCAGGTATGCATAGCCCAGTCCACAATAGATGTCTGTTTATGTCAGGAACTATTTCTTGCCTCCTGGAGCTACCAGGGTCAGTCTAACTTGCCACCTGTGTGCAGGGCTTTCCCCTCAGGGAATCTACCCCAGAGCCATCTGCATTCTCTGTATCTCCTCTTGTCAGTCAGAACAATTCTTGTTGTCATTTTGCACTTCAGAGGGTGCAAGAGAAATGTCTAGATTCAATCCATTTCTGCAGTGCTGCAGCCTCCAATGTCCATTTCATGGACCCAGGTGTCACCTCAAGCAAGCACACCAAAATATCTGCTTGCTAGTTCTAACCTCTTTTTGATTCTGGAAGGAGATAATTATTCCCCATTCACCCTTCGCTCTACTTACTGGTCATGTCTACTCTGCTTTTCTGTCTCTATGGATTTACTGATTTGGGATGCATTATATAGAAGTAATCATAAAATATGTGGCCTTTTGTGTATGGCTTCTTTTGTTGAGCATGTTTTTAGGGTTCATGCAAGTTGTAGCATATATCACTACTTTGTTCTTTTTTATGGATGAGTAATATTCCAGTGTGTGTTTATCCATCCATTATTGATGGACATTTGGTCTTGTTCCTACCTTTTAACTATTGTGAATACTGCTGTGAATATGCCCATGTATTCATTTGAGTACCTATTTGCATTTCTTTTGGGTATATACCTAGGAGAAATTGATGGGCCATAAGGTAATTCTGTGTTTAACTTTTTGAGAAACCAGCAAACTTTCCCACAGTGGCTACACCATTTTTATTCCTACCAGCAATGTACAGAGGTTCCAATTTCCCCAATCCTTGCTAACACTTTGTTTTCCATTTTTAATTATAGCCACTGTGAAGTGGTATCTCATTGTGGTTTTAACTTGCATTTCCTTAATAACCAACAACGTTGAACATCTTTTCATGTGCTTGTCCATTTGTATATCTTCTTTGAAGAAGTCCTTTCAGATCTTTTCCCCTTTTTTTAATTGAGTTATGTGTCTTTTTGTTGTTGAATTGTAAAGTTTTTTTTACATATTTTGGATACAGAATGCTTGTCTGATAAATGATTTGCAAATATCTTGTCCCATTCTGTAGAATGTCTTCACTTTCTTGATAATATTAATTTGATGCATAAAAATTTTAAATTTTTATGAAGTCCGGTTATCTGTTTTTCTTTTGTCCATGTATGTTTGTCATTCTAATGTCAGTACAAGACTGTTTTGATTACTGTTTCTTTTTAGTTAGTTTTGAAATCTGAAAGTGTGAGTCTTCCAGGTTTGTTTTCTTTTTCGAATATTGTTTTAGCTGTTCAAGGTCCCTTAGAATTTCATATGAAATCTCCATTTCTGAAAGAAAAAAGCCATTGGAATTTTGATAAGGATTGCACTGAATTTGTAGATTGCTTTGCAAGTGTTGCCATCTTAATAATATTTGGGCATGTAATATATTGACAGGATATTTTTTCTATTTATTTAGGTCTTCTTTAATTGCTTTCAGCAATTAAATTGCTAAAATTATAAATTAATTTTATAGTTTCCATGTACAAGTATTT